TAGAATTAAGTCGGGCCTGTCCCTCTACAGGGGGACTATTCAAAAATAGTCAAAAATAGTCCGGGGACTATTATTCGATTATTTTTGGGCATCTTTTGAGCATGTTTTTAGTATTTTCTGTTTTTCGTCGAAAATCACCCTGTAGGGGGACAGGCCCGACTTAAACGTATAACTATTACACAATGGACACTGAAAGCTGGAGCTGGAGCAGCGAGCAGCAAGTCTAAGCCGCGCCGCCTCATGGCCCCGCAAGGTGGCTGGCGGATTTTCGTGGCACAGACTGCAGTCGGGCGTGTCCTTCTACAGGCGGAGTATTCAAAAATAGTCAAAAGATAATGCGGGGACGATTTTTCGAGTATTTTTGAATATTAGTTGAATATGTTTTGACTATTTTTGTTTTTCTTCCAAATCCCCCTGTAGGGGGACAGGCCCGACCTAAGCCTAGACCTGTGCAGTCGGAAGGCCGTGATGTCTGAAGACTGAACGATCCGCGCGGTGTCAGAAACCAGCGCCGCAGTAGTCACGGCGCGAACCTGACGCGTGCGCCCTTCTTGGCCGAAGCCAGGTGGAGGGTTTCTCCGAAGGGCTTAGACGACCCGTCCTCCTACTCCTCCTCCTCCTCCTCCTCCTCCTCCTCCTCCTCCTCCTCCCTCCTCCCTCCCCCTCCTCTACCTCCTCCTCCTCCTCCCTCCCCCTCCTCTACCTCCTCCTCCTCCTCCTCCTCCTTCTCCTCCTCGGGTCGCCTACGGCCCTGGGGGAAACCGTGCAAGGCCAGGATGGTCCATAACCGATCCTGGGGTCGGGGGCGGCCTCACCGGCCCCTGGCAAGCCATCCTTTCCGTGACGTCCCCCTCGCCTCGCCCCAAGACTTGAGTCGGGCGTGTGCCTCTACAGGAGGAACAGTCAAAAGTAGTAACAAGTAGTCTGGAGACGTTTTGTTTGGATATTGGTTTGAATCTTTCTCGAACTATTTTAAAGTCCTTCGTTCAAAGTCCGCCTGCAGGGGGACATGCCCGACCTGACCCACGACGTATGTATGCGACCGGAGGGAAGCTTACAAGGCGAGGATGACGTCATGGACGGGGATGGTTTGCTAGGAGTCGGTCGGGTCGCGCCCGATGGGGTCCAGGGTGGCCCGGGCCACGCGTTGCGGTGGCGCGACGGCGCCCTTCCGCGGAGGAGAGCTCGGTCTCCTCAGACTGGACGTCCGAGGCGGAGGGCGACGCGGACGTCGAGGAGCCGACGGGCGAGGTGCGGGGGTGGGGGAGGATGAGGGGGAGGAGGAGGAGGATGAGGAGGAGGGGGAGGAGGAGGAGGAGGAGGAGGAGGAGGAGGAGGAGGAGGAGGGGTGGAGGAGGAGGGGGAGGAAGGAGGAGGAGGAGGGGGTGAGGGAAGGAGGAGGAGGAAGGAGGTAGGGGAGGAGGGAGGAGGAGGAGGAGAGGAGTGTGAAGGAGGAGGGGAGGAGGAGTTAGGAGTGAGGAGGAGGAGGAGGATGGAGGGATAATGAGGAGGAGGAGGAGGAGGAGAGGAGGGAGGAGGGAGGAGGAAGGGAGGGAGGGGGAGGTTGAGTGGAGGAAGGAGGAGGGGGTGGAGAGAGGGGAGGAGGAGGAGAGGAGGAGGAGGAGGAGGAGGAGGAAGGAGGAGGAGGTAGGAGGAGGAGGAAGGGGAGGAGGAGGAGGGGGGATGTGTTGTTTGCACGTGGGTTAGAGCCCGTGCGCCCGCTCCGTGGGAGCCCGAGCGAGCGAGGGCCCCATGAGGGGCCGAGCCGGAGCGAGGGGCGGACCAAAAGGGGCCCGGAGCGAGGCGAGCGAGAGGGCCCGGCCGAGCAGCCAGGACCACCATCCAAGGCGACGGGGAAGATGAGGGGCGGGAGGGGGGAAAGGAAGGGTGATGGGCCTGTTCTCCACCGCCACCATAAGTCGGAGGGGGGAAGGAGGTGGAGGACGAGGAGGACGAGGAGGAGGAGGAGGAGGAGGACGAAGACCCCCTCCCCCTCCAACTTATGGTGGTGGTGGAAAACAGGCCCATCAAAGGGGGGGGAGGCTGGACCTGGCCGGGACCCCAAGGCGCCCGGCGTCACGCTGCTTCCGCAGCGTCGGCCTCGGGATCCCTCGGCCCCCTTCCACGAGCAAGGGCCAGCCGAAACAGGGGAAGAACCTTGTGGCCCTCTCGAGGTCCGGGCCCTTGCCGATGTCGCGCCGGGCGACAGGGGGTGGTGGTGGGGATTGGACTGGGATAGTCAGGAGGGGGAAAACACACGGACACAATTAATCGTCCACTCCCAGGAAACTATAGGAAAATATGGGCAGTGGGGGGGAAGACGAAAACCCAGGAAATATTGGGAAAATATGGGAATGTCTTTTTTATTTGCCTGTTTTTCTTTGTGTGTCTCAGGGCCCCTTCAGCTAGGGGGAGGGCGCCTGCCGCATTTGCAGCTGGTGCTCGGCCCCGCCGCCAGGGGTGATTCTGACACCCTCCTCCGTGCGCCCATTTTGGCTCAAGATGGAAAAGAGATATTGTTGTCCATCGGCATACTATCTCATCATGGTAGCGTGAGCTGGCCACTCACTGCTGCCGACCCCACCAGAGCCTCGGCCGCGGGCGCCACGGCGAGCTGGCAGGAGGCCCGAGGCTGGAAGAGGGCGGCATCGACCGCAGCGAGCTCGGCAGCGACCGAGCAACCGGCAGGGGCCGGGAAGACTGGCCGCAGGCGCGGCAAGAGGAGCGACGCAGCGATTGAGACCAGGCGCAAGGCCCTCCAGTTCAAGCACGACTTGAAAGAGGCAGGCAACAGGCTTCGTGACCTCGCGTACATCGAGGACCATCCTTCGGAGAACTCCTCGGACGTTGTTGAGAGAACGCAGAAGGAAGTCCTAGGTCGGATCACGGACCTCGAGCGTACGAGGCAGGAGATAGCCGAGAGCAGGGAGGAGCTCGCCGAGAGACACGCTGCTAAGCATGGACGAGCAGGTTCGGCAGCAGTTCGAACTGCTGAGGCAGGAGTTCGCGGCTCGAATGAGTCAGACCGCCGACGAGATGCGGAGGCTGGAGAACGAGAATCAGCGGCTTCAGCAACAAGTAGCAGGAGGCCTCGCGGCAATTCCGCAGGCGATAGAACGGATGGGCGAGCAGATCAGAGGCGCGTCGAGCGCAGGAGGAGCCGCTCCCGGTCTCGTAGACACCAAGGGGATTGGCAAGCCCACAACGATGGGCGACGATCAAGAGAAGTTCGGGGCTTGGAATCGCAAGATGGAGAACTACGTGATAGGCGTGTACGGAGAGAGCTTTCGTCCCGTTCTTCGGTGGGCTGCAGAAGCCGAACGCCCCGTGACGATCGAGGGGGCACAGGCGGCGCACGGCGGAGTACCCGAGCTGGAGACCAAGGTCAACCAGCTGTACGCGGCGCTGATCAGCACGACGGCGGACGGCAGCGAGAGCAACGACCTCGTGACGGGCGCCCCCGATGGGAACGGTCTAGAGGCCTGGCGGAAGCTTCACCGCAGGTGGGATCCGACGACAGGTCCGAGGAAGCGGCTGATCCTGAGGTCGATCATCTCGCCTCCGAAGTGCAGCGCGGACGAACTGGGATCAGCCTTAGAGAAGTGGATCCAGCAGATAGGCAGGTACGAACGCCGCCAAGGAGAAGATGGTCTAGCCGAGCTGCCAGAGGATATCAAGATGGCGGCCCTCGAGATGCTCGTGCCTCAGGACATCGAGAACCACCTCGTCCTCAACAAGCATCGGCTCATCACGTTCCAGGACAGTCTGAACGAGGTGATGACAATCGTGGAGGCTCGGACCGGCGTGAAGATCAAGGAGCCATCGATCCGTGCGCGGGCACATCATCCGGACGACATGGACGTCGGGTCATTCGGAGCCCCGAAGGGCAAAGGCAAAGGCAAGGGCAAGGACGGCAAGAGCAAAGGGAAAGGCAAGACTCAGGAGCCGAAGGGGAAGAGCAAATCGACGAACGGATCATACTCAGGCTCCCGCACGTCCCCGATGGGTTCGGGCCGTGGTTCAGGGCGCACGGCACCTCGAAGCACCAGCGGGCGCTTCGACGGCTACTGTCGGAATTGCGAGAGATGGGGCCACAAGGCATCCGACTGCTGGAAGAGAGAGCAGGGATCGAGTACGAGGGCTGGAACTGGATCCGCAACGGGGGCAAGCGCTGGTGGTAAAGTCGGTAGCCGCGGTGGCAAGGCCGGCGGCTAGGCGGCAGGCAGCCTGGAGGAGGAGCCTGAAGCGGAGGTCGCCGCTCTGGACATGGGCAGCCTGGACTGCCTGGAGCTCGCCAGCGGCAGCGGCCGCGGCGTGGTGGCGGTCGATCTCTCACCCTTCGCGCAGGACGACTGGATGAAGTTCAACTGGGACAGCGGTGCAGCTATCTCAGCATTCCCTCGGAGTTTCGCGCCGCCGACGGGAATGAAGGGCAACGGCAGCACGTATCGCACGGCCAGTGGTGAGCTCGTCCCGGACGAGGGCAGCTTGCAGCTCAAGGCGGAGGACGAGTACGGAGTGCTACGAGCGCTCAAGGGACGCGTGACGAACGTGCACAAGCCGTTGATCTCGGTGGGGCAGGCAGCAGGAGCTGGACAGTGTTCGTTCTTGGGCCGCAATGGCGGCTGGATATTCCACGAGAAGAGCCCAATCGGCAAGCGCGTGGTAGGCATGCTCGAGAAGGAGGCGAAGGCGGCGAAGCACCAGATGATGCCGGTCTATCGCGAGCAGGGCGTCTACAACTTCTACCTCAAGAAGGGCCAACATGGCTCGGTTGCTCCTCTCGAGGAGGGACTTTCGGCGAAGTCGAAGTCCGAGCTGGTGGAGCTCCTCAGTGGCAAGTCGAAGGAGGAGCTGCTGGAGATCCTCGAGAAGACAGTCCCCAGGAGGCAGCCCTCGGCGTAAGTCCACTGGAAGACTCAATACCAGGGCCCCCTGCGGCATTGGCTGCGGGGGCGGCAGCGGCGGGGTCGGGACCTTCCGACGTGAGACCGCCAGGTTTTCAGCCAGCGGCAGCTGCTGCGGCCGACGTTTTGCTAGCTGCTCCTGATGGACAGCAGGCCGACGAGGGCGAGGAGGAGGCTCGCCCAAGGGTGCTGAAGGCACCTCATGAGCCCTCTCAGAGGGAGATCGCTGAACACGAGGCGATGGGACACGCGACTTATCGCAGCTGGTGTCGCGTGTGTATCGCGGCAAAGGGCCAAGGCCAGCCGCATCTCCGCGCACCGGAGGACGACGAGACAGCGGTGCCGGTGATCTCATCCGACTACGCCTTCATGGGCCAGGATGACGCGGACACCATGCCGATGCTGGTCCTTAGGGATCGGCGCTCGAAGATGATGGCAGCGACATTCGTGGAGAAGAAGGGCGACGACGCCTACGCCATCAAGTTCTTCGCACGCTTCTTACGGATCCTGGGCTACAGGAAGATCGTCAACAAGTCCGACGGCGAGCCCGCGATCCTGCTGGTCAAGAGGCGTGCGGTGGAGGAGGTTCCTGGCCTCGAGGCCATTCCTCAGGAATCGGCACCGGCCGATCATCAGGCCAATGGGGAGATCGAGGTCACGGTGCGCGAGATCAAGAAGCAGGTGCGGGCGCTCAAGATGGACCTGGAGTCCAAGCTTGGCGTCAAGGTGGAGGACAAGCACCCGGTGCTAGCGCACCTGCCGGAGCACGCCGCATCGGTAATCAACCGATATCGGCGCGGCCAGGACGGCAAGACCGCTCTTCAGCGGCTCACGGGACGGCAGTGGAGGAAGCCGGTCCCGCTCTTCGGCGAGCGCCTGATGGTGCGGTTCGCCGGGGAGCGCACGAGGAAGAACGCGCTGGAGGAGCAGATGGTGGAGGCTCGCTACATCGGCCACCACCCGCGCGACGGATCGATGATGGTCATCACGAGCGACGGTGTGAAGAAGGCGGTCGGCTTTCGCAGCCTGCCGCAGAGCGAGAAGTGGATCACGGCGGGCTGGGACAGCCTGAAGGGCCTGCCGTGGGACGTGGCTCCGCGCGCGGCCAGTGCGCCGCGAGCCATCGTCGGACCGGGAGAGGCCGGTCCGCCACCGATTGTGGTGGTGCCGCCGCAGCCGCAGGCGCCGAGGAGGATGTGCGTTCTCAAGGCGGACGTCGAGCGGCTGGGCGCAACGCCGGGATGCCCAGGGTGCGTCTCGATCGCCAAGCACGGCAAGGTGCTGGCGGGCCATGCGCACAACGCGGTGTGCAGCAAGAGAATCTTCGAAGCGCTGGACGCTGAGGAGGCAGGCCGGGAGAGGACCGGCCAGTATCGAGAGCGGAGGCAGGGCCAAGAGGCCAGAGTCCGACCAGCGGCAGCGGCCGCGGCAGGGACCCCTCCGCCGAAGACGGCTCGGAGGATCACCGAGCCGGCGGCAGCGGCGGCGTCGGCGTCGGCCGCGCCGGCCGCGACCCGATCGGCAGCAGCGCCAGCCGCGGCAGCCGCAGCGGCGCGCATGCGAGAGAGCCAGCCGGTAGCATCGGGCTCCGGCGTGGCGGCTCCTTCAGGAGGAGCGAGCTCCAGTTCGGGAGCAGTGCGAGCGGCAGAGGCCGCCGAGGATGTCGACATGACCGCGACCAGGTCGCGGCTGAAGCGCTTGGCGGAGGTGGCCCCGGATGACGTGCCGGAGGCCCTCGAGCGCGGTGATCCACAGCCGGCAGACGTGCCGGTACCGGTGGACATGGAGGATCTCGCGGCGCAGCCGGCGCCGGCGGAAGGACCTCAGCTGCCAGCTGGAGTGGCAGTCGTTTGGAACGCCAGTGAGGGGAGGCACATGCGGGTGCTCGCCCTCGATGTGGCGTCGATCGAGCTGGTTGAGCTCGGAGTGCTGACGAGAGCGAAGGCGGAGTTGCTCCCGCTCGTTCGCGAACAGGTCAGTGGCCATTGGGCCAGCGCGGCGTGGACATCGCCGACGAAGAGGTGGACAGCATCGCCCTATCGGCGTTGCAGCTGGGCGCCGTGGACGTGGCAGAGGTGTACTCGCCACATCGGTTCTCGGCTCGGGCAGCGGAATTTCAGCTGCGCCCGGGCTTCGCGGCGGACCTGGAGGAACTCAAGGAGGACGGGGCGCCGTGGGACTTGCGGCGCCCCGAGGATGTCAAGGAGCTCGAGAAGCAGCAGGAGCGGATGGATCCCATCCTGCTCACGGGGTCCCCTCCATGCGAGAAGTTCAGCTTGCTGAGGGGCCTGAGCGCCAAGTTCAGGACCGATGAGCAGGAGGCGGCTGAGATGGAGGAGGCCAGACACCACCTGAAGGTGGCGGTCGACGCCTACTGGCGTCAGCTTAAGAAGCCAGGCAGGTACTTCCTGCATGAGCATCCCTGGAGCGCGCGATCGTGGAACGAGGATATCGTCAAGGAGCTGGTCGCGCATCCAGGAGTCTTCACGGTCAAAGGCCCCATGTGTCGGTGGGGCATGAAGCTCACGAACCCACGCAGTGGCCATGAGGAGTTCGTGCGCAAGGAGACCGGATGGGTCACCAACCATCCAGGCTTAGCCCGGAGGCTGCAGGGCACTTGCAGCAATGTGGACGGCCGAGCGGAGTGGCATCGCCACATCACACTCGTGGGCGGCATCGCGCGGTTCGCGAAGGTCTATCCACCGAAGTTGGTGGAGGCGGTGCTGGAGGAGCTCAAGGACACGCTGAATGACGTGGGGGAGCTCAGCACCGCCCAGGTGCAACAGTCGGGCCCAGTCCCTGTGGACGCGGCAGTTCCGCCCGGGGACTGGACGAGTTACTGGGACGATGTCAATGGCGGCTACCTGGAGGCGGGCCTTGTGGCCCAGGCTCGCGCGGTCGAGCGCGAGTGGGTCAAGAAGCAGGAGCTGATCGAGATCGTCCCGAGGTCTCAGGCTTTCGCCGAGACTGGGCGTCCGCCCATCCCACTCAAGTGGGTCGACACGAACAAGGGTGACGCGGAGAGGCCCAACTACAGGAGCAGGCTCGTGGTGAAGGAGATCAAGGCGAAGAAGCGCCCGGATGAGCAGCTGGAGGCGTCCGAGGTCTTTTCGGCCATGCCTCCTCTGGAGGCCATGCAGTCGCTGGTCTCGCTGATGGTCACGTGGACGCGGGAGCCACCGCTCCACATTCAGGAGTCGCTTCGCAAGAAGGGCAGGAAGCCGGGCAACTTCAAGATCGGTTTCTTCGACATCAGCCGGGCGCATTTCTACGGGAAGGCGCAGCGTAGGATCTTCGTGGAGCTGGAAGAGGAGAGTCGCAAGGAGTATGGCGAGGACAAGTGTGGCTTACTCCTCAAGTCCTGGTACGGCACGCAGGACGCCAGCAAGATCTGGCAGGGCGATTACACGGAGCTGCTGGAGGAACACGGATACAAGGTGGGCGTGTCGTGCCCAGCGGTCTTCTACAAGGAGGTGGACGAGACGAGATTGCTGGGGCACGGCGACGACTTCGCGGTACTGGCTCAGCAGCAGGACATCGACAGCTTCGAGGCCACGCTGGGAAAGAAGTACGAGTTCAAGAAGACTGCGAACCTAGGCTTCGACGAGGGCGACGACAAGCAGGCGGTCTTCCTGAATCGGGTCATCGAAGTCAGTGCGGGAGTTCCGCCTGGCGGTGGCCGGCCCTGCCGGCATGCGATGATCGAGCCGGGCAAGCGGCGCGCGGAGATCGTGATCGACGAGTTGGGTCTCAGCAAGGCCAACGGCGTGGACACGCCGACTGAGAAGCGCAGCGCCGACAAGCAAATGATGGATGCGAAGTCGGCGGCGCTGGGAGCGGCGGAAGCTTCGCGCTTCCGATCCCTCACCATGAGGGTGGCCTACCTGTCGCAGGACAGGCTGGACTTGGCAGAGGCATCAAAGACGCTCGCTAGGTCCATGCAGACGCCGACGGAGGCGAGTTGGCTCATGCTCAAGAGGGTTGGCCGCTACCTCAAGCGGCATCCTAGCACGGTGACGGTTTTCACGGAGCAGAAGATGTTCGACAAGATCCGGGTGCACGTGGACTCCGATCATGCGGGCTGCGCAGTCACCCGGAAGAGCACCGGAGGCTTCGTGGCGATGCTGGGGCATCATGTTGTCAAGCATGGCAGTAATCTGCAGTCGACGGTTTCTCTGAGCAGTGGAGAGAGCGAGTACTACGCCCTGGTGAAGGGCGGGAGTGTGGGCCTGGGTCTTCACAGCCTCTTCGCGGACTGGGGGCTGGACCTGAAGGTGGAGCTCGCCTCAGATTCATCGGCGGCCCGGGGCCACGTCCAACGGCGAGGTCTCGGGAGGATGCGACATGTTCAATCACGATACTTGTGGATCCAGGAGCGCGTGGGTAAGGGCGACCTCTCGGTCGCCGCGGTTCCTGGTAAGAACAATGTCGCGGACGTGCTGACCAAGAGCGTGGGTGGATCTCTTTTGAGGAGACACATGGCGACGCTCAACATCTGGGATCGGACACCGAGTTCGACTCAGAAGGAGTTCAAGTGATGAAGTGGATCGAATCCATGCTCCGCTACCTGTGGGGCTGGATGAGGTTCCGCCGGCGGCGGTATGATCGCGCCGGACGGAGTGAGGGGCTCGCGGCATGGCCGCAGCCTAGCTGATGAGATGGGCGCGTCGGCTTGGACGCGCCCGCGTACGACGTTGAGATGGGCGCGTCGGCTTGGACGTGCCCGCGTACGACGCAGGTCGTGCCTGGCCGGGTTGGCGGCCAGGCCCGAGGAGGAGTGATTCTGACACCCTCCTCCGTGCACCTATTTTGGCTCAAGATGGAAAAGAGATATCTTGTCCATCGACATACTATCTTATCACGGAGGCGAGGATGCCGCGACTGCTGCCGCACACCGCAGGGTCGCCCTTCGGCCTCCAGATGTCCCAGAGCTTCCCTCCCTGCAGCGCGAGAGGGGCACGGGCGGCGGTATGAGACATGTCGAAGAAGGGGATCACCATGTCGAGCGTGGCCTCTCCCCCAGCTCTCTGGATGGACGCGCTGGTCCCATCTGGGCCAGGGCCTTTCTTCGGGTGAGTGCGAGATGGGTTGCGCCACACTTGCTCACGACCCAAAGACTGCGGCGGCCGCTGCAGCGGATCTCCAGCAAGGGGGGACTCAGACAATGAGGTCATCGTCATACGAGTTCCCGCGAACAAGGAGGCCCAATGCCGCTCCCATCTGCGCTGGAACCCGTCAGGGTCGAAGAGTGCGACGCCGTGTTCGTCCAGTGTTTTGGCGTCCTTGCAGAAGCCCTTGTGTATCTTGAGCTGTTTGGTGATGTCGTGCAGTTGCTTGGCGTCGCCACTCTGGTCGGCTCGCACAGCGTTGCGATGGAGTGTCAGATTCTGGGACGCGATCGCCGCGCGGCGATGAGCACTGGGAAATTGCACAGGAGGTGATGATGATTATGATGCTGGTGGTGGTGATGATGATGTTGGTGGTGCTGGTGGTTGTGATGAGGCTGATGCTGGTAATAATGATGAGGATGATGATCATGATGATGATGCTTATGAGGCGGAGCATGGTGATGGTGATGGCGATGGTACTGATGGTGGCGATGGTGATGATTGTGATGATGATGATGATGGTGATGATGATGATGGTGATGACGATGGTGGTGGTGATGATGATAGTGGTTGTGATGATGATGGTGGTGATGATGATGTTTACGATGATGTGATGATGATGATGGTGGTGGTGATGACGACAATGATGACTGTGACGATGATGATGATGATGATGATGATGACGATGACGATTACGATAATGATGATGGTGATGATGATGTTGATGATGGTCGTAATGGTGATGGTAATGAAGGTAATGATGATGATAATGACACTGATGATGATGATGCTGATGATGATGATGATGTTGATGGTGACATTGATGATGATGATGATGATGATGGTGGTGGTGATGATGTCGATGCCACTGTTGCTGTCGATGATGACGAGGATGGAAATGGTGATGATGATGGTGATGATGCCGCTGCTGCTGCTGCTTATGATGAGGGTACTGGTGATGAGTATGCTAATGATGATGCTGATGATGGTGGTGGTGATGATGATTTGTGGTGGTGTTTCGTGATGGTGATGACGATGGTGATGATGATGATGATGAGGATGATGATGTTGGTGGTGGTGATGGTGATGAGTATCGTGGTTGTGGTGGTGGTTTGGACGATGATAGAGACGATGACGATGCCAATGATGATGGTGATGAGGATGATGATGAAAATGATGATGATCATGAGGCGGAGCATGGTGATGGTGATGGCGATGGTACTAATGGTTGTGATGATGATGATAATCATGGTGATGAGGATGAGGAGGAGGAGGAGGAGGATGACGATGATGATGATTAGGAGGCGGAACATGGTGATGGTGGTGGCGACGGTGATGGTGATGGTTGTGGTGATGATGATGGTGGTTGTGATGATAATGATGATGATGGTGGTGATGATGATGTCGACGATGATGATTATGATGATGGTGGTGATGATGACGACGATGATGATGATTGTGATGGTGACGATGATGGTGACGATTACGATAATTATGATGGCGATGATGAGGAAACTGATGTTGACGATGGTAGTGATGGTAATAGTGATGATGGTAATGATGATCATGATGACACTGATGATGATGATGATGATGATGATGATGATGATGATGTTGGTGGTGATGGTGTCGCTGCTACTGTTGCTGCCGATGGTGACGATGATAGAAATTGTGATGATGATGGTGATGATGCCGCTGCTGCTGCTGTTGCTACCGAGGGTGATTATGCTGAGGGTACTTGTGATGAGTATGCTAATGATGATGCTGATGATGGTGGTGATGGTGATGATGATTGGTGGTGGTGTTTGCGATGATGATGATGATGATGATGATGATGGTGATGATGATGATGATCCCGCTCTCCCAAGGGAGCCGCTGCCGACGTGCGCACTCCCCCTGCTGCTGCTACATTATCCCCTGCTCCCCGCACGCTCCCTCGAGCGAGGCCTCTCTCGCGGCGGGAGGGGGGACGGGGCGCCGAGGTCGGCCTCTACCCCCCCTTTGGTGGGGTGGAGGCCGCGCTTCATTCTGCGGAGCCCTTCGGCCTGCCTGCTCGAGAGCGGCCGAAGCGGGCACTCGTCGCCGAGTGCCATGGCCCGACGACTGCGGCAATACCCGCCGCACATCACGCAAAAGGCGAGGTCCCCCGCCCGCCACATCCTGTGGGACGGGTGGAACCTCGCGTTCCACCAGGGGGGCCACGTTTCCCCGAGATCAGGTCCAGGCCCAGGAGGTCCCCGCGACCCACCCGACCTCGCCCCCTGTGGCCCCCCTGGTGGAAGAACCCCTTCGCTGGGAGGGTTCTCGATCGAACTACTCTGCGCTGGAGACTGCTGCTCCTGCTGCTGCTGCTGCTGCTGCTGCTGCTCCTCGTCCCCTCCTCCGCTGGCTTCCCCCCCGCTCGCTGCGGCGGCTCCTGCTATGATGCCGGGGAGCGCGGCCGCGCCTGCGCCTGATCCCTCGGTTCCCGAGGCGGGCGGGGGCGGTGGCGGCGGGGGTGGGTGGGAAAAAGCGGGGAGAGGACGGCCGCTCGCCGCGCATCCGAGGCAGCACCAGATGCGCCTCGACCCGACGAGAGCCGACGAGCCGTGCCTCTCGCACGCGCGGCCTGAGCAGCGGCCGCAAGGTGCGATCGAGCGCAGGCGGCAGCCAGGAGCAGCACATCTAATCATCTGGAGGCCAGGCGCAGCGTAGCCGTCACTCGCCGTGAGCCAGCTGCTGCCCTCCTGCAACGCCAGGCCGAGCATCCTACCCAGGCTCTCGCCCCACTCGTCGGCGATGCTCGCAGCCTCGACCAGCGCGGGGAAAGTGGGGTGGATGCTGGCGCCCTGCTTGGCCCTCAAGTCGGCGAGCTTGTTGCCCCGCCGCTTCCACTCCGTGGAGGACCCGACTAGGACGTCATGCATCGTGGCGTGTCCCTTCACCTTGGTGATCCGAATGGCGTCCCTGCCTAAGTCGTGGACCCGTTGCCAGAAGGCGGTCCACAGGGTTCTGTACGGTCTAGACCAGCATAGGCACCAATCCTCGCCTGTCTCCCAGCCGTCCACGAGCAGTTGCGAGTCACTGTAGAGGTGCACGGGCGAGAGACAGTGGGCCAGGGCCTCCACTGCTGCCAGCAACTCCCCCGAGCCCGACTCCTGGGCTAGCGGCCATGGCACTGGCCCCAGGATCGACGAGATCTCGGCGCCCGTGTGGTCCGTCGAGCAGGCTGCCCAGCCCGCTCGCGCCAGAACTCGGTCCTGGGCGTGGGGCGCCGCGCCATCCAGGAAGACCTCTCCATGGAGTGGCTCGCCTGCCCTCGGCCCCGCCGTGCGCACTATGCGCGCCGTGAGCGGCAGGGGGAGGTCACTGCGCGGGTCCTTGACCAGGCACCGCGACCAGATGGCATGCTCCGCGTCCGAGTCCAGCGGGCCGCCTGTGTCGTAGAAGTAGTTGATGTTGAGGTCGTCTATCTTCCACTGCCTGCGGGGGCCGTCCAGCGTGGGGCATGCCCAGACCAGGTGCCTGACTGCCCCCCTCTCCTCGCATCCAGCTGGGCAGCGCCCCGAGCTCGCGAGCGGGGGGTCTGCCAAGGCGCGGCGCTGGACGGGCCAGAGGCAGCCCACGATTGCGTTCCTGGCCGAGGACCACCGCGAAGCAAGGGCGTGGTCGGCGTGCTGCTTCGCCAGCCGCCTCCTCAGGCCGTTGATGGCCGCGCCGCCCTTCAGGTGGCCCAGCAGCGGGTCGGGGCTCGCCGCGTCCCTCCAGAGCTTCCTGATGAAGGCAGCCTGGACTTCGCGGTGGACCATGTGCCTGTCGGTCTCGCCCAGGCCGAAGATCCCCCCCAGGTCGTCCGTCCAGCGCCTGATGTGGCCAGCCCTCCAGCCGAGGCGCGCCGCAGCAAGGGCCGCTGCGGAGGCTGGGCCCCTTCCCACCAGGCCCTCTGGCCCGATGGCGGTGAGCCGCTCGCGCGCCGCCGCAAAGGCCGAGCCGAGGGCGCGCCTGTCCTGCTCCTTGACCTGCTGCAGCGCCTTCGCCCACGCCTCCATGGGCTTGACGATGTGGTCGAAGAGCGGGTCGTCCCACGGCTTCGCGGCCAGCAGGTAGCTGAGGCTGATGCTCTTGCCAGGCCCCGTGCCGAAGGCGATGGCTGCGAGCTTGGACCTCCATCTCGCCAGCGCCGAAGACGACCAGGCCATGCAATAAATACCGTATGATGTAGCGGGCTTAAGTCCAGCATTGACGAGCTTGATTGCCGCTTCCTTCCTTACCCGTCGTATCTGGTGGACACGGCCGAGCTGGGCAGCGGCGGCTTGGCGTCGGCCTGCAGCCACCTCCCCAGCTCTGGCGCCCATGGCGTAGTCCACTCCCAAGTTCCTGGTCCCCTTGGCGTGCGTGAAGGAGCCCTCGTCCATGTGGTACTCGATGAGGCGGCGCAGCTTCTCGGTGGC